ACTGGATGTAGCTGTTCAGTTCAGATGGCTTGCAGATTGGCAGTGCTTGAAGATAAGGAGTTTTTGGCTTTGAACAGTATAAAAACTAATTATCCATCAACCCAAAGAGTTACCACATCTGAGCTTCATTAAGATCTTAAATGGACACAGATGAGGTGACGTTCTAGTATATTTAAAGACAAACCTGCTTTCTTCTTGTAAAGCAGTTAAAATGAAGGATATTCATCAGTGATTGAAGAATGTGTTGCGCTTCCGCAGGTTCTTAAATTCTTTGTTTTTTTTTTTGTTCCCACCTGTCAGTCAATAAAATCCATCCGAGTCTTTCTCGTCTGGGTTGAAAACGTGCTCGGCTTTGTCCGACATTACGGGGAGAACTGAAAATATGACTTTAACCGTGTGATCACTGCAGGGGGGGGAAAAAAAAAGAAAAAGATATCTTTAGCTTCACATGTTCATTCTGGAAAAGGAAAATCACCCCCATCCTCCATCCTTCTGCCTCCCTGCTCGCTCCCCCCTCTCTCCTGCACCAGCTGAACAAAGACAACTGCTCTTTGTTGGCTTCATGCTCTGTGTGAGACTGAGGGCCAGCAGCTTTTCACTGATACAAGAAGCAAAGATAGGAGCATTCAGCAGAAAAGAAAAAATTTAATACTCCAAAACATTTTTGGCCTTGAGTCTCTATTTAGATCCCAGGTGCCTTTTTCAGATGTTTTCAAAAGAGATAAGAGTTAAGAGAGCTGAAGCAGCTGTATGAATGAAAGCGCTTCAACCAGCACCTTTTCTTGTTTAAACCACTTCATTTTTTTTTTACATATTCTGCCACTTTCAGTCCTTCAGCTTAAAAACATCACAGGTTTTCAAAGAAATGCTGCTTTTTTTCTAGTCAGAAAGCTGAGAACTTGTCAGAATCAAACTATAAAGCACTTCATCCTTACATCCTAACATTTTTTTTTACTATTGAACTTTTCAAACTGACTTTTTGTAAATCTTGTTTCTCCCTCTCTCTCTTTTAGTTGTTTTTCTTTCTTTCCCTCCATTTTTTGTTTTTCAAAAATAAGTAAACATTCATTCAAAGGAGAAATTGCTGCCTATGTAAGTGGGCAGGGGGGGGAATCACGGAGGGCAAACACATATTACAAAGGGGAAATGGATTTTGCTTAGGAGGAAAAATGAAGAGTGATGGAATTTTTTCCCCCTCTGTTGCCACACCCAGTTGGGAACCAGTTTGCTCCGGGCTGGTGGGCTGCTTTACCAGGCTGGTTACTCGAGGAGGGGGCTGTGCAATATGTTTTTGTCTACATTTGCAAGAAAAAAAAAAGCAGATTTCATCTTTTCTTGTTGGTTTATCCTAACAGTTACCCTATATATTATTGCCTTGTTTGTTTGGAAGAATAAAAGGGGGCTTTTATAATTAATCATTTCCATTACACATGGAAAATGCATTATTAATTGCAGATGTCAGATTGGGTTCTCTGCATAAACGTTGCACAGTACAACAGAGGCTCTCTGACAGAGGATAAATCCTGCAGAGTGTTTCAAGTCTTGTGGTGAACGGGATAATTTAGCCCCACTTCCAGGCCGGCTTAATGCTAATAGATGAAGAGTGAGAGAGCAAGAGGAGAGAGGGCGGCCATTAGCACTTATAAATCAAGATGATTTCGAAGGAGGACGAGGACGATGATGTCAAGAACGGGGAAACGTGTACATGAAAGCGCTTCGCCGAATGGCCAGTCTTCACATGTTCAGTTGTTCTGTTATAAGACACATTCAGATGTCCTCTGAGTCAACACTGATGTCGTTTTCAGGGATCAATCAGCAGGTGATCCCTTTAAAGTCCGCAACGCAGCATCGCATTTGGAGCTAATTGCAAACTCAGGATCCAGCAGACTAATTGGCACACATTTGGGATTTTCTTTAAAAAAAAAAAAAAGCTTCATTAGGTTAGATCAATACAGACATGTCTTCAAAGAGACACAGTCCAGTAGCATCTCAACCCTTCTGAGCCTCATTATGTATGAATAATTAACAGATTTTAAGTAAACAAACAGCGTGGCCCTGCTTCTGTCCTCGATGTATGGAGGAGACACATTGTTCTGTCTTTGTAAGAGAGTGGCTCTAATGTGCAAAAAGCAACCAAGCGCAGTCTAAGCTTACTGTCAAGTCTCCACTCATACAAAAAATTAGGACATCCATTAAATATTTAGTTTTTATCAAGGAATGTTCAAAGTGTATGTTATTGATTTGTTTTATTCACATCTGAAAAAGAAAGTGATTTAAAAATATACATATATATATATATATATATATATATATATATATATATATATATATATATATATATATATGTATACCTCCCTTTAACGATTCAAGATTACCAATAAACCAATAATCAACAAAGGTTAAAACTTTGGCTCATTTCACTTGTCAATAACAACTCAAATGTCAATTGATTTGAGCTTAAAAACTGAACAAAAGCCGTTCTGGATCCCTGTTATGTGTGTATATGTATTCAGATGTGCTCTTTTTTTTCTTCTTCTTCTTTTTTTTTTTACAGATGGTCTCTAATTCTAAACAAGCATCCGCCGATGCTCTGACGTATACTCTCTGATGAAAAGGATGAATCATTCTGGGTTTCCATAGCTGTACATCTGCAGTATTTCTGGGGTTTTCAGCTGCAATAAAATAATTTGCCTTTAAAGCTCACATAAGGAACCAGATTCTGCCTCCACCACCCGCTGGGTAATCGTAATCTGCTGTATCTGAAGCTGACACCAACACTGGCAGCAGTGCAGGGAGCTTTGGGGGTCAGTCGGTGTCACCAATCTTGTTCAGGTGCTGTTCGACATACAAGTACACGACCTTTTCACTGGCGACCCCGAGACTGAGGCTGAGTCAGCTTTCTGCCGAGATACAGACAGACGAAGCAAATTCGCTCGTATCGGTGTCGGCCTCCTGCCATCCTCCACCTCGTCTCCCCTCAGCTGCAATTTCCACATCCCACCCTCCCTGCCTCCCAATGCTGCTGTTCTTGTCACTCATCGCATCTAGGCAGACATGAATTTAAGATATTAATGAGCTCATCTGACAAGAACAGACACACACTGTGGGACAATGTGGGACAGTTGGAAACAAGCCATAATGTTCAATTTACAATCTTCTTATGAGCAACGTGAACGGCTGTGCGACCTAAATCCTCTGGACAGAAATTAAAATTGTTGTTTTGTTTTTTTTTTCCTATGCTCTCTCCTTTAGAGGAAGACAAAATGAGTGATGATAACCTATATTTTATTTGAAATCCTACTTACATCACAGGGAATGTCCCAACTGCCCGGCTGAAGCATTGTTGTTTTCACTTTAGCCACGGATCGAATGAATGAAGAAATCCACAAGCAAACAGCTATTTGAAACTTAATTAAACCCATAAAATATTACAATTTTATGTTTACTTTTAAAAATAAACTTTTTCTGTTTCCTACAATCAGTTTCAGACTCTAAAGACGTGATATTATTGACTCTGTGACAAAAAGAGCTCATTTGCATGCATGCTGCTCTTCAAAAGTGTGACTACATGCACACACACATGCACAGGCACACACATATATTCTTGTACTTATATGGGAAGTGAGGACTTTTGTATTGACTTTCATTCATTTTAGTAACTGCATTCATGCCTAACCCACACTTTTTCCCAAACAGTAACCATTACTAGTCTATTGCTAACTTAATTTACACCACAGCTCTAAATCTAACCAGTAGATCATAAAAAAATATAATATTATTATTGTGTAATTGAGCAATTTGCTTTTCCATCTGTCTCAAACCCACATTCACATTAACATTTATTAAAGTCTATAGAGCTGGTACCAAATATTCAATATTATTGCACTGTTAAATGACTTTTATTATACAACTGCAGGTTGAAAACTATTTCGGCCATGTTTTAAGATCCAACAACTACTCAGATTAGCGTTACAGTTATGTTAGGTGACGAAGGAGATAAATGAACAGAAACCTCCATTAGCTGATATGAGTAACTCCAAAATGAATACAATATGGAGGAGAAAATTATAGATACCGAGCCACGGAGAAAAATTCAAAGACAACAAATGGAGGATATCCACTCAATCACATCAAATGAGATGATCTGAGATATAATATGGCTTAGTCAGTCGAATTACAGTGTTATGAAGTATTATCACACACTCCACTGCCTTCCACCTCAGGATGTAACTGGGGACACATTTCTGCTATTCGACTCGGAGCCAAAAACTCTGCACTCATGCCAGACGACGTACTTGAGTCTGTCAACCAATGGAAATGAGGCAGTTTGTTCATGCATCCCTCTAGTTCCCTGGTGGAGAATATGGCTCCATTTGGTATTTAAATGGGTCAAACTGTGGTGATTTATTCATGTTCTGAGTCTTTAGTGCCACTCCTCTTGACAGGCAAGCTGCGGGCTCACCCGCCTCTGAATGGAAAAGCTTCTTGATTTTCAGCCTTTCATCACCCAAATGCAAATATTCTTACAAACAATTTAAAATGTATCACCAGCAATTCTTAGGGGTCTTTGAAAAATATTAATACATCAGGGTTTTTTTTTTTGTTTTGTTTTTACAGTGTCACATTATAACTGTGATAGAGTGCTTTATTGTTTAACTGTGATGAACCAACACCGTGTTTTGAGTTACTGAAAGCTGGAAGGAAAAAGATATGATGTTTTTAAATAGTTTTAAAACAAAAATCTGAACAGTGTGGCCTCATGAGTCAAAACTGTATTAAACCATATTTTGCTAAACTATAGTAGATCTGACTGAACATTTAGGGTTGTTGTTCTCTCTGGAAACAAGTTTTTTTCAGATACTAACAAGATTTCTTTTAGGACCGCCCTGTATTTAACTCCACTCATCCTTTCCATTAAGTTTCCCTCTGTCTGCTGAACAAAAGGATAATACTTCCATCACCATGTTACCATTAAATTGCTGTGTCACAGATGTATTTTTCCCCCACTCCACGTAGTGCATAAAACTATGTGTAGTTTATGTTTTTTTGCAAGCTGCACTTGAATGCACCCCTGCTGCACAGTCATAGAAAGCTCTGTGGGGAGCAAAAAATGATGAATCAGCACAGTACATAAGTGATTCTGAAGGATTAAACTGAATAGAAGACAAAAAGCTATTTTTTAGAGCGTAATCCTTCTCTGAGCATTTTCCCCAAGCAATTATTTTACTATCAATAGAGAACAACTGTCATTATCCCAAGACAGAGATTTGAATTATATACAGAATGGATTTGGTACAATGTAAAACACTGGACAGGAATACATTTTGGAAAAGAGAATAGCTGATTCTTGGAGAGGAAAGAGCACTTAGCAATGAGGAACAAAAGAATAGAAAACTGATGCTAACATTACCCTTGAACACCTTGCTGTGATGCTGCCAAAGCTCTGTTCTCCCTCCATCAGCAAGCTTTCCTGGCAGTGCAGTTGGATGTGACAGGTGTCCAAGCAGTCACAGTATCTTTAGGCAGATATTTCTGCTTTCATGGACTCCAGGTCACCTGTGGCAGTGAGAGACACAAGAGAGAGCTGCATTTCTCACTGTCCTCAACCGTGCAGCCGATAAACTGCACAGCACTGCAGGCCAACATTTGTTGGTAAATAATTCTCCAACATTTCACCTGGTAAAATAAAGGTCATGAAAACTTTCAATACTTACTTTCCCCGCCGTAGACAATCCTTAGAAAATCGAATCCCTGAAAGAGTAGGCCTGATTCAAACAGATAACGCAAAATCACCAGAACTACACAAAGTGTTCACAAAAGGCGAAAGAGCAAATTACAAATCACAAAAAGTGAGATTCGTTTTGACCCAGAAGAACACAAATCATTTTCTCAGTGATTAATTTATGAAAGCCTTGTCTGGTTTTTCTTGTTTCGCTTTGGTTTAATCCACATTCTGCATCAGTATGCAAAAAAAAAGAAAACCAGTAAGTCCTGCCAGAGGCATGTTTAAGGCCTGGGAAGTCCACAGTAATTACACTAATATGCCCCCTCTCAGCAGGATCATTTGTTTGGTTTCCAAAAGGGCCGACCAGATGGTCCCCTGAGCCCAGTGTTTCTCCATATTCATGAGCTAAAGTTTGACCCTGACACCCCTGAAGGGCTGACCTCTAACCTGGACTCTTTAGGGCATCAATAGGACACAGAAGGCAGCTGAAGGAGAAGCATTGCACCAGGCATAACAAAACCCCACCTCCAGCATGGATGAGTGCCAGGCCCCTCTGAGTGAAGACATTTGGAAACGTGTGAGCACCAGAGTGAGCCAAAGCCTGGCGAGCTTTTCTCAGGGACTGATGGGACGTTGTCTCTGGAAGTGGACATCTGTCCCAGCCACGTAAAGTCCCACACAGAGACGGTTTGATGGGTGGAGTTCACAGGGAAAATACGAATGACGTTGTGACATGTCATCATTGTTCAGGATAGTGTTTGTGAACTGGATGATGATGCTTTTGTAAGAAGGAGTCCATCTGGATCACCACATGACACAAACAAAAACAGTGTTTCAATCAAGCTAAACAGATTTACACTTAAGCTGCTGAAGCCAGAAGAACCAGATAGCCAGTTATGTTCACCAAAAGTAATTTCTCAATGCCAGAATAAGAGGTAAGAGTTTTCTTTTTCTTCAAATCCAGAAGTTACTTTATTATTTACTTCACTACTTTAAGCAATCTGGGAAAGCTTCCTAGGCACACCTGTGGAGGTATTTTATTGAGAAAAAGTGCTGCCTGCATCTGTGATATCAAGGAAAAAATTTTAAAAACCAGGCGAGATGTTAGGAGAGGGATTTGTGAACCTCCATCTTCTAATCAGCAGGTGTAAATGCCCGAACCTCTGAGCTTTATGACTCTTTGGTTCTTAAGCTGAGGCAGCGTCTTAGACAAAATACATTTATATATACATACATATAAAAAAAGAAAATCACCCATCAGATACTGTATCTTCTGAGGTAAATTGGGGAATTGTATGCAACACGCTGCTGTGAACTAGATATAATCCGCAGGAGACTAATATTAAATCCTTAAAATGTTCAGGTTAATCGCGTGCGCTAACTAATACATGTGCGAAAGAGATAAAATAAAAACAGTTGAGTCACCCCACCCTCAAACCTCAGCAAAAAAGACCAGAATACAACCATCGGCATATTCTGGGTGAAAAATATTATCAACTTAACTAAAAAGCACTTGTGTTGCACATAATGCTAGCTGAGAAATAACCAAAGTTAGCTTGAGGCAACAACGCGATAGACGCGAGAGTAGCTCAATATAACCACATAAAATATATTTTAGTCCACAAGCAAACATAAAACTTCAACAAAAATGTTTTTAAAAAGTACTTATCCGGTGAAAGTCGTTGCTGGCCCCGCTCTTTAGCCCGCGAACGTTAGCCTCCAGCCGGTAAATATCCCACAATGCAACTGTACATTTAAAATTTACAGTACAGCTGTGCTCCTTGATCCAGCGGTCCAATCACATCCCATAACTTTCCATACGCATTTAAGATCACAGTTAAGAGCAGCAATTTCAAAATCCAGCCACCTTACTGTATTTTCATAATATAGTTTTTACAGCCATTTGTTTTATAAGTGTTTTTATTCCCTTGCAATTTCTGATCTAATTTATATTCACTTGTGCTGCCAAAAGATGCCAGGGCTTGTATCTAAAAGGACTCACAACGAGTAAAGTAGATATTTTAATGGTGTGCGTTTCAAACTTCCTGCAGTACCCTCATGAGAAATTGTGTCCATGTGCCTCTTCACCACATCCATCTGATAAAAAATAGCTGAATAGCTTGTTATCTCTATTCTACAGTGAGTGTAACATGAAAACAATGATTGTGTTTTTGCTGCAGGCCAGAACAGAGTAAACAGTGGAGGCTCAGAATGAATTTAAGTGACTTTATGAAAGTGATGACAAATATGTTACTCTGTGACAGCATCATTTCTCCTTCAAATGTGACGATAGCAAAATAAGCCATGTGGAGTTTTTATTATTATTATTATGATGATATTTTCTGGCAGTGTTTACCCATAAGGAGCTGTGTGACTGGCAACAGAAGATCCTTGTGTACATCCATCTGACTAACTGGTTCTACTCTGGAGGCAGAAGAGCTCCATGTTTGTCTTTAAAATATATTTTATCAGTGTAAACTCATTTAGAGACCATTTACCAATTAAAACGGGTCATTTATGCCATTTAGAATACTATGTTCTAGTAAATTTTTTGGGCATACGTGAATCCAAAAGATGAACAGAAATGTGCGGCCTCAGGGAGATGGCACCTTCGACTGGCTAAAAGCCCTCTGGATGGGTTTGTGTAAGCCGATTATCCCCTACTCAGAGATAATCACGTAACATTTTATTTTGGATGACCACAAATTAACCGCTAATTATAGGCTTGTACAAAAGGCTTGTAGATTCAGGATATTTTCCACAATATGCACTCTGGGTTGTTTTTTTTTAGCGACAGCAGGGATTTGCGAGTGTCTTTTGCTCAAGCTGTGCCCCAGAGGTAATGTCATGCACATTGCTGACATATTATATTTATGAAACAGGTTAGGCGGTCTTGTATGGGTCATTTACACTGTGCTGCTCTGCTGCTTTGGAAATGTTTCACAAATTCCTCACCACAGCTGTCATACCTTGTCCTGATCTGACCCCGATAGCAGATTAAATACGTGGCTGAAATGGATGTCTGATATTGACGGCAGCTAATGCAGGCATGAATATTTCTTTGCAAAATTTAAATACAAACCAAATGAAAGGTCACTGAATTCATTCAGTCTTATCTCATGTGCATTGGTGGTGTGCTGGGGAGGCCTGCAGAGACAAATACCTGTGCATGGTTATTGAACAGCTTCATCAGTTGCAGGTAGAGCTGGCAGAAAAGGGGGACACGGTGCATCCAGAAAGTATTCATATGGCGCTTCACTCTTTTCACTTTTTTATGTTGCAACCTTATTCTAAATTGCATTAAATTAATCGTTTTCCTAAAGATTCTACACAGTTATGACAATGTGGAACATTTCTTTTGAGTGTTTTGAAAACGTATTAAAAATATAAAACCAAGAAGTCACATTTACTTAAGTATCGACAGCTCTTAGGTGGATCAGCAAAGTATTAATCAAAATCCTAATTCTTATGTAAATAGGATTTCTCGGTTATGTGTCCCCGGGACCCCCTTGACCCAGAACTCATTCATTACCTTTGTCTCTACAGTAAACCTTTTAAAATCTTATAGTTCTCCTGGGAGCTTTTGTGTGAGTTCAACATCTCAACAAAACCATGACTCCTTTAACCTGATTTTAAACCAGTGATTTAGCCTTCTTCATATTCTGTGGGGATGTGAATATGAATCTAAAAGTAGCTATTAAAACCTCTTTTGTCCTCCATCAAACACATTTTCTGTTGTTAAAAAAAAAATAACCTTGATCAGATGTACACCTTACATCAGCGTACATGAAACATCTTCTAAACAACTATTATCCATGCAGACATTTAAATTCTGACTAAATCTTTTCAGGAATTCTGTGGCTACACACTTGTAGCCACAGATTCTAGTTAAAATGCTGCCATTGAGTTTCAAGCTGTTCGTTCCCTGGAAGGGGAACCCTGGGCTTAATGAGGAGAACGAGGTCAGGAAGCGGCAAATGACCCCTCAGGTGTCGGTACAAGTGATGCTGCATTAGCCTGGAAATGAACCACTCAAAGCATCAGGCATTTCGTTTACATGTAGATTCCTGAGTGACGTTGAAAGCTCCAAGTAAAACGATCCAGAATAGCAACAATAGCGTTTGTCTTCATTCTTGCTTTAATGAAAGTAATAATAGAAAAACTCTGCTCCACTCACGAGGTGTCATTAGTGTAACTCATTAAGCTTTTACGGAATTTTAATCAGGATAACAAGGATAAAAAATGAAAGCCCTTGTTTTGCATGTAATCCCTCATTCAAAAAGCAGCTCTGCTGTTCAGCTTCCGGCATCTTTTTTTAAACGAAACTCCTCAGGTGCAGGTGCTTAATAAAATCTGTGGGACGTTACAGCAACTTTTCATAAACACATCTTTGTACCCCGTTCTGCTGCAACACAGAAGTCTCGAGCCTCGCTGCAAAAGCGGTCACACTTGAATAGACCGACGGACCATCCTGCCAATCACGAGTTCTCTCTCTGCGGATTATGAATTGGTTCCACTCCACGTTCCCACATCATCACTTGGAAGGGAGGAGAAACTGTCTTCATCAATTTTCATTTGCTTTTTTTCCTCATCTGCTGTCACATGTTCATTCATATTCATCACTGGCTGCACAAAGCAGATCAGCGAGCTTTGTGTCCATTCCTGCAGATCCTCATCCGAGATAATGAGCTGACTGTCACACTGTTTATACGCCGCGTTATGTTAGAGTGAGCTCTAAAGAGAAACCGAGCAGAATAAGAGGCAATTACCACATCCTGATACTGTACTGCTGGTAATGATCTCCAGATGACTGCGGTACACCGTTAGATACAGGACAGATTAGTCTCAGGATAGCTGATATGGTTTATTCTCAGTAAATCCAGAAACAAAAAAAAAACAAAAAAAATAAACTGAGATGAACTACAGAGCAAGTCCAAAGACGACAGTTTGATGAAACAGCCAGAAATTATAGATGATAGAATGAGATACGCAAGATCAGACAGCGGAGAAGGAGCCAGGCCGTTTCCAATTTTATAAACAT